AAAAATTACATTCTTGATAATCCTCGTGTGCCGCAATAATCCTAGAAATTTAAATACTTTGATATTCATTATTATAATTTATTTATTTTTGTAAATACAAGAAGCGTTTCCTTGGCAATAAACAATAATTGTTAATACGAGAGTTATCAAGAATGTAACTTATTAGTAAAGGCCCAGAACATGTTTGTATAAGAACAAAGTACCAGTTACAAAAAATTGACGTTTGTGCAATTAAATCCCAGTAAAAAATTACTTAAATTTACTCTGTAGTAGCCAAAATGTTAATTATTAATTGTATACTATTGTAAAAAACAGCATTTATAAAATAATATACCTCCAAAAATTAACCTTTAAATTTAAAACCATAATTAAAAAAAAGAATTTAACCTACTTTATGAATTTATTTAATGTAATTTCTGTAAAAACATAAAAACCTAAATCTGTTTACATGAAAGTAAAAATATAGAAAATATCTTTCAAATGAGGTATCACATGACCCAACTTTCCATTAGAAAATTTAAAGCTAGTATCTCCCACTATCTTACGTGTCTCAAGTAAAGTCCATCTCGTTATAAGAAAAATATAATATATCTTGAGTTTTACTTCGTTTTTGTTTTGTCATTATCTTTTTTCATTTAGAAGTTAAAATAGAGGAGGGTACAATTTTCGACCTTATTGTATACCTATAATACATTCGTTTTTATTACTTTTTCTTTGACAGTTTTTCGAAAAAACGCTTAAAAATTTTCAAAAGTAACCTCAGAAAAGCAGAATGGATTAAATATAAGAAATGATTGTATAAATTTTAAATAAATGAAATGAGAAATTTTTTTTCATAAAAATCACTATTTATAAAATCCTAATAACACAAGTATCATTTGTTACCATTTAATATATATAGAATAGGTGTGTTATTATAGTTAACATTTTGACTATCTCGAAATCTAATATGTTAAAATTTTAAGTTGTGATAAGCAATTGAAAATTTCATATAAACAAAGAGAAAATTGTTCGAGAGAGCCAGAGAGAGCCTCGTTCGAGACGAGACAAGACGAGACGAGAGACGAGAATCTCTCGTCTCGCGGCATCATTAATGTTCGCCCCTTAAAGTCTGTCGGTATGTTTTCGGGACACCTTGTATAATGGGTGACAATTTGCAAACGTTCCGTATTTAATATTTCTTTAACTGATCAAACTATAAAACTTTTGCAAAGTACGTAAATTTTTCATATGAAAGGGGAGAACTGTTGTGGTATTTGTTGTTATTATATTCTGTCTCCTCACTCTCAGGAGGAAATTTTAAATAGCAGCTTCACTTATTTCGCCATTTTTTAAATTCTTATGTAATTCTAGATAAGTAACATTTATTTTTATTTTTTATTTTTTTTATATTTTTTTTTATTTTTATTTATTTTTTTATTTATTTTTCTCAAAATTGAAGTACTTAAACTCACGAATCTGTTGAATAGAGGAAATTAAAATTGAATGGGGTGATTGTTCAAAATGCTTTCTGCATTCGTGAGGTTAAGTACTTCAATTTTGAAAAAATAAGATCTAGAATAACATAGGATTCCCAAAAATTGCTATAAAAGTGAAATTTTAGGGGTAGGTATCTCAATAGTTGTTCCTCTTGATATGTAAATTGACGTATTTTGCCAAATATTTATAATTAAATGATGTTCGTTTTTAAATTGATACTCTATATTTTTTTATTAATTTGTTTGATTAGCTTTTTGGATATAGTGTAGTGTAATGTTGTGTAGTGGTTTTATTAAATTATTTGTATCGTAGAACTGAAACCTTTTGGACAATTATCTATGTCAATATATAGTATAATTTAGCGCTATTTTTTAAAATTATTTTCATAAGAATTATTTCAAAAATTTCAAATATAAAAATATGAGGATAACGACTAAAAATTCTACAAAAGAATATCTTTGCAGCAGAAGAAATGAGGATATGTATATAATTAGTGGTATAGCCCCACTCCAAAAGTCTAAAATCTTACGATAATCAATGAAGTCATTGAAGAAAGTTCGGAAAAATGAAGATCCTTTAAATCTCACAGAGAGTGAATCTGGAATAGGTGTGTCTAAAGATTAGGTAATCTTTAATAATAATAATACTCTCTCTAATTCACCACCTTACGAGTGAATTTCAACCCCTGAAGCCAACTGAGCTTGTGTGGGGAATGAACGGAACTTACAGGTGAGCAAAACCCGGAAAATTCCACCTAAATCCCACCCACCATCATCTAAACTAGCTTTACTCAACCTTTTGTTCTTTCAGGCCACATAAATCTGTGTTTTTATGCTGCACGGGCCACAATATTTTTGGGTGATCAAAAAAACAAAGGTCATCATGTTGTTTTAATAATCTTTGGGACAATTTGTTTCAAAAAAGGACTGTAGGTCATTCCTAATAATAGTGTTTGGTGCTGCACAAAACAAATTGGAGGGTCGCACAAAACAGCTTGGAGGGCCACATAAAACAGCTTGGAGAGCCGCAGGTTGAGTATGGCTGATCTAAACGACAACGCATGGCGATCTATATCAAATCCTACAACGAACCTTGCAAATTATTTGAAAATTCATATGGTCTGCTGTAGGATTCGACCTATAAACGAATGCAAGCACGTAAGGCAGGTTCAATAAAGGCATCATAATCTATGTGAGATTTAAAGGAACTTTCGCTTCCCCTAATTTATAAATAGGAAGAATTAAAAAAAAAAAACTCTATTATCCTTGTAATGACTTAATCGGCTATAGCATACCCTTTTGTAAAATGTATCTTAAATAAAAACTTATTGCTACTAGATATTTTAAAAACCAAAAAGCCAATTCCAATAAAATATATTAACCACCCAGCGGTTTTTTAACCAAACTTTAATTTCCACAAAAAAAATTACTTAATAGAAACATTTTAAGTAACACTTTTAGTACATTCTAAATGGACAAAATATATCACCCATACTCCAGTAAAATTTCCAAAGACCCTAAAAGACGCTAAAGTTGCTCCAAAAAATTGTCATGGGGATATAAATTTATTAAATATAACACTTGGTTTTACCTTTACTAAAAAAAAAGGTCCTGCAAGAGAAGAATTAATTACTGAGACTTCATATTTGGTAGTAGATTTAAACCATGCCAAACGCAATAGAGTTTATGAACGAGAAGAAATATAATTATCCGTTAGTAGTCGAAAATAACGAAACAACTAAACAAAACACCGAAAATAACAGTCCATGTAATAATAAAATTCACAAGGTAAATAATTTCATTTTTAGAGTGCCTCAGGGAAGTGTTTTAAACCCATTTTACACTTATTTTTTACACTACACTACTAGTGATGATACTGCTTTCATTGATGTTGATAAAGGCCCAAAAAGATCAGTACTCTAAAGCAATTCTCTAGTGGATCTATCATTGAAAAATTAAGCTAAACGAACTGATAACTATTCATGTGAACTTTCTTTCTCTTTAAATATCAACGGAAAGACTGCATCTCATGAGCTGAATAAAAAATACCTTGGAATGACCCTTGATGCCAAGTTACGGTAGATGTTAAAAATGAAACAAAAGAACTGAATTAGGATTCAAATATAAATAGCAATACCTGGCTCCTTGGCAGAAACTTAAAACTGTCAGTACATACAGGGTGTCCCATAAGTCACTAGGTGATTTAAAAATGTAATAACTTCTGACTTGTAAGGATTTTTAAAATTTTTGTTTCAGATTTGGAAACTAAAAGCTTGGGAGGGTTGTTATTGGGAAATTCACGGTTGACCAAAGAGTCGCTACTGTGGAACTCTATTTTGAATATCATCCATCAATTACAGAAAACCAAAGAGCATTTTGCAGACTTTAGAATGCATAAAATTCCCCCCTGGGAAAACGTGCAATTAAATTTCGTATAGGAATTTATTGGGAGGGAGAATTTATTGCATTGAAAAGTCTGCGAAACGCTCTTTAAGGTTTTGTAACGATCTTTGAGTTTTTGTAATTGATTGATGGTGTTCAAAATATAGTTCAACAATAGTAATTCTTTGGACAACGGTGAATTCCTCCATAACAAATCTCCCAAGCTTTTAGTTTTCAAACCTGCAACAAAAGTTTTAAAAGGCCTTACAAGTCATCTCTAATAATTGAAGAGGACGTACATGTTAGTGTGTTGTATCTGTAAAAGCAGACCACAGCATGCGAGTGACTTGTATGTAGTAATCAGAACAACCTAATGGAAATAGATGAATTGTATCTTAGTTGATAAGTTTAAGATTCTTTTAGAACAAAATTAAAGGCTAGTTTTAATGGCAGACTTCATGAGATATCAAAATCAAATCCATATTAGATAGTGTTAATAAAATCCAACATATTGTTTGTTGTAGTAATAGAAATATTGAATGAAATTCAAAATTGGCAAAAGTTTATGGAAATTCAGTTCCAAATTCTTCCACATCCATGGCATTCTCCTGATTTTACACCATTGGACATTCAAGTCTTTCCTAAATGCTCCTAGATGAGAATAGATTCTGGAGGGGCGTTCGACATTTTAAAGAGAGCCACTTCAAGAAAAATCAAGAATGTGGAATGAATAAGAAATTTTGAGAAAATTTCATTGTTTTAGTATTGTTTTTATTCCTATCTCCTATTTTTTATTCTGGCTCAGATATTTATTTGTTGATCGTATAAAACCACTAATAAGTACACAGTGTCATCAGTGGAGGACCAAGAGGGAATTTAGGAGCTCTAGTAAGATTTATTAAATAAAATATGGAATGCTATTGAATTTCAGGAAGTTAAAAAAGTGTAGCCAAAAATTCTTATCTCTTAATAAGAATCTTATAAACTTCTTTTGTCATGCAAATAGTTTACCTTAAAGTGTCTTAAAAAGTGGCAACCCTATTAAATTAAAAACATGCTTTGTTGAATGTATATGGGTCTAAACAGGCACAATTTTACTGGAGTATGATAAATTAGGTGAATTCCAAATTTTCAACTTACCGCCTGTGGTTTTTTGGTTGGTCTAATCGGCGGTCTGTGAACCCCATTAATTTTGTGGTATAAACCACACGCGTTACATAGATAATGCCCGGTACCGTCTCTACGCCAAAGAGGTGTAACGCTAGCGCCACAATTAACGCACTCTTTCACTAGTACCTCTTGACTAGATGGCCGTCCATCCTCCATCGTGTTAGATGACCAAGTGGAGTTTGCGTATTGTCCAGCAGAGTACGACTGAGTACTGTCGGCTTGATGAAGAACATTTATGTTTCCGGGATATTGTTGTTGATAAGAACCACTGCTACTAGCATTCCAACTTCCTGGGGTGGTGTAGGTGTAGGAATCTCCGGAAGAAGGGAGGATGTTCACTTGGGGTTGAGTACTGGATACTTCAAAGTTTACCTTGAAAAAATAATTTGGTCTAGGTAAAAGTGTTATTAACAACTTTATTAGTTGTGTGTTTATAACAAAATAATTTTCTTGCAGGCACGAGGTATTTTAAATCAATTCTTCTTGCAAACAGTAAAAAGAATACGGACACAACAGCAAATTTACCACCATTATAACTTTTTAAACAAATTGAATTTTGCTTTTACCAACGACGAACAAAATGTTTAAACTAATGTTTAAAGGGATGTCCTTATAACATTCAAAAAAGTAGTAAAAGCAATAGAGTTATATTAGATTGAAAAGCGTGAAATACAACAAATGAAAATATATCGTAAAGACGGCAGATACAATGTTTAGAGGAATGAAACATATTTATACAAATCACAAACTCGTCCCAATATCTAAATAGATAGAAAAATAAAAATAATAACAATCATATTGTGATTGTTACCGGCGGAACCGGGCATTCATATATGTATATGTATATGGATTCGAAATAATTATTTAAATAAGTACCTAATATATAATATCCCAAATCATAATTCTACCAAATTTCGTTGTTCGCAATTTATTAATCTATTCACATGAATAAGCGAAATTGTTCAAAGCATCTTCGTTTTAGACATACGACTAGTATATAAGTTAATAAAATGGCAACAAGGCAAAAGCCAGTCATCGATTAGAAATAGAAGATATGGTAATGGGATATTAGCTGAACCGAATGTCAATCACAAGCCAGAGAGCATAGCGATAGCGGTGATATCGTAGTTGGCTGTGAAATGACGACTATGCCTAATACAAAATAATAAATACTGTATTAAATAATCGGTCAAATTCTGTAAATGAAGTGGTATACTTTTTAACCTCTGTCTGCCTTTTAGCTATACACCGTTTTTGAAATAAACCTCCTTTTTGTGCCAAACAAGGGCTAAATCGTTTCAATAATTAAAGCAATGGTGAAACACAAAATTGAGAAATCACTTGAGAATGGAAAGTTGGAAATATTTAGAAACGTCAAAAGTTATAGATTTTATAATGCGCACATTTATCACAATTCTTAAGTCACATCACCAATTGCACACATTCTGTTAAAATTTCATGTAATGAAAACCAAAGAAACCTGGGAAACATGAATTTAATAAAATATATTGCACACAAAAATAAACTTTATGAAAATTACTTCAACTGTGTTTCTAATGATCATCCAATTCAGCTGATTGCTCTCGTTTTAAGATGGCTAGTATCGGTACATTGGACTCCTGTACATGTCCCGTCAGATTAAGTAATGCTTCCCATACATCATGATAAGTGAATTGATCTTGGAAGGTTTTCTCTGCTACCAAATTAAAGTTTCAAGGCTTTTACAGGAAATGGTGACTGACTGAAATTTTGGAAATTGACCAAACTTATTCCGAAATACAGATGCCAAACTCCGAACGTCTTTATAGGAACCGTAAGCAGATGTTGTTTGGTTGTAACATATCTTGCTTTCCTCCATACCTCCATAAGCACCCATAAATTCTTCAAAGACATATCTCAGGTGTTTCTTGAAGCTGGTTTACTTCTTATTTCTCGTCATGGTCTTCCCAAGACATCTGTAGCTTTGGATATTGCATGTTTAGCCTCTCTTTTTAAGTTGTTCAAAGTCATTCGTTTCTTCTACAGGTATAGTCTGAAGGACATCTAAAGTATCTCCTTAAAGGAACATGGTTAAATGTATTGCTTTTATCCTTTCAGACTATTCGAGGGCTCTCACAACTGTTTCGAGCTGTTTTAGGTAACTGGTCTATGTCATTTTCTACTTCATGGTACTTTAACCGTCCTTGGCCTGTTCTGTATGTTCCAGTTCTTCTATCTCTTTTATTTTTTCTCAACGAAAGACACTATTTTATCCTCAACAAAATAAATTTCATTTCTTATAGAAGATATATCAGATATTTTAATTTCCATGAAAGACATTTGAGGAAACACTTTTTCCTCCAAGGAAGAAATATCATTTTTTATAGAAGAAACATCAGCAGTAATTTCATTTTTCATAGAAGACATATCAAAAGTCATCTTTTTTTCTAAGGAAGAAATGTCAGACGAAACTTTATTTTCTAAGGAAGAAATGTCAGAAGAAACTTTAGTTTCTAAGGAGAGAGAATTTCCATGGAAGACATTTTACTTTCCAAAGAAGAAATTATAGAAGACGCATCATTATACACTGAAAAAACACTGTAAATTTACAGAATATATCGTTAACAATTTTTTAACCAGTTGAATTATGTAATTTTCAAAATTACAATATTTAATATGAAACATCAAGTAGTTTTAATTAATATATTACGTAAGTAAACTTAATATGTTGTGTAAAATTAGTTGCTTTACAAAATATATATAAAGCAAGATATTTATTCCTGATATTTTACCAAAACATATTGTAAGTTTACTACGTAATTAATATTTATATTATCATATGCGTGTTTAACATATTTATCTAATGAATGTTGTAAAGTTTACATAATACATATTGAAAATTTACAGATTTTTTTCAGGTTTCCGAATCCAAACCTGTATTTTCTAGTGCTTCTTTAAGTCGCTCTGGCAGTTCGCCTTTCTTTCCTGTCGTCTCCAGATCACGATACTCTAGTTCTCGATGCAACCAAGCTACTTTCAAATCATGTAGTTTTAGTCATTTTTAATCACTGTTTATTTACAAAATCCCACTTCTGACACCAATGCTACGTTTATTTATTTAGACATAGTCCGGCCAAAGAATTCACTTATATACAAAAATCTAACAGCCTAGATAAAACAATCCGGACTAGAACAATCTCGATGCATTCGTGAAATCCTACCTCGACACGTCGGGCTGCGTACAAAGGAACATTCTAGTCCGGCAGCAATGAAGGTCTAGGAAAAACAGGTTCGGTCTTGTTGAACGACAACACCATGGAGAAAAACGTCATACAGCAACACAGTGAACTATTTCATCATTTCTCGCGCACTTCTTTTTTCAATTTGTCAATTAAATTGAATTCATTAAATTCATAAGTTACAACGGTGATAATATTCATTATGATCTAGTATCTTTTCATGTATTGACTGGTTCCAAGATTGCTAGACAAGAGTAGGTATAGAAAATTGACCATTTATTTGGTTTAAAGGTTTACAATTATTATTGTTAAACAAAGATAGTTTGGCATATTTGGGATATTACATGCTTGTCGTATTGTTTGAGGGACCCAATTATTTGATCATGTCTAGGGTTACCAGATTTACAAAAGGGAAAAGCGGGAACGGTGACGACAGGAGACCAAGTTAGAACAACAGATATTTCTATAAACTCAGGTCCTTTTTTGTTGACATTGCTTTTATTTTTATAAGATAGGTGAATACAATATCGCCAAGCTGGCAATAACGCCAAGGGTTCGTATCTTGGAAGGTTTGGTTTCTGAAAGACAAATGGCGCTTGGGATACTTTCCCAATATTAAAAGCAATTTACATTTCAATTTGTGGTGAATTCTACCCTCACATTTTCGTTTAGCAGTTGGTTTCCCACCTAAACCAAATTCAAAATCCGTTCAATAAAGTTACAAAATTGGTGGGCCAATTCTGGCTAAAAGGTTTTCTCAACAGGCATTCGAATATTAGGAATCGGAAAGCTCAAAGCAAGAACCTCGCGAGAGCTCAGTAACTAAATAGGTTTATTGTAAGTAACCATTTTGAAAAATTGGGCGAAATTCTTGCTAACATGGACATCATGGACAAGCCTGAGCATATCTACAATAAGGATAAGAAAGGCTGTCGGTTAGCATTACACCACCAACAAACAGTCCTTGCAAAAAAAGGAGCAAAACGAGTGCACCTTGTGGAAAATGAGTATGGACAAAACGTCACAATAGTATCTTGTGGCAATGCTCTGGGTTCTGCGATTCCTCCCTTAATTTTATTTAAAGGAAAAAGGATGAATGGGGAGATACACTTCCGGCGTCTATTATGGTGTTAATGACTCTGAAAGGTAGTATGACCATTGATGCTTTTAAACAATAGCTGCATCATTTTGCCAAATACAAAGTTGCTGGTCAATCTTTCGATGGTGCTAAGTGTCATCTGGATTATTCTATTGTCACGGTCGCGGAAGAGTTGCTTGTCAATCAATACAATGCACGAACTACAGCCTATGGACAGGTCTGTTTCGCTCATTTGAATACTATATGGATGACGAAGTTCTTAAATACTGGTCAACACATAGTGATCGTGCTATAACAAAATAACGTTTTGGAAACATTTTTTCTGTAGTTTGGGGCAAATGTATGACACCATCAAACATTAAATCTGGTTTCGCAGCAACTGGAATTTATCCGTTCAATCCGGACATTTTAAAACCCGAAGCATATGCTTCAAGCAGTGTAACTCCCAGACAGCACACGACGTCCATTGGACGTCCATATTTTGTCCAAATAATGTCCTGGATGTCCATGAACTTCATATGGATATTCATTGGACATCCGTTTTCCGTTATCCAATGGATATACCTATTCAGAAGTCTTATATCTTATAATAAATTATTATAATTCTTCTTGTATAATTTAATTATTTACTACGTTTTAATTAAAATAAATCAATTAATTTTCCTCTCCACTCGCCTCTGTTGACAAGATAGAAAAGTTAAAGGCCACTCAGGCCAGACTCGAAGAAGAAAAGAAGAAAGAGGCTAAGAAGAAAACACAGCCAATAGGTATTTTCCTTTGCATCGAAAGTGTAGCACTGAGCTACACCGTGGCTACACCACTTCTGAAAATATCGTTCCATTTATACAAATTGTATGGATGGAACAATATTTTCAGAAGTGACGTAGCTCAGTGCTATACTGTCGATGCAAAGGAAAAGACCTAATATGTAGCACATAGATGTTTATCTGGCAAGAAAATAAGTATAATTAACATTAAAGCATTTAAAAATCTAAGAATTAAAAAGCAAATCGTTTGTTTTAAACTAATATAACCTATCAATTATGTTTTAAACTTTGTTTTCGATTTACATTCAAAGAATCCCTTTCTTTTAGACCTTTTGTCAAACGATGTATCTACCTATTTAAGAAAATGGCTTTACTAAAAGCTAACTAATATGCTGCAAATTCGAGATGATGTCAACACAATTATTATTTATTTAAGACTCAATATTCGTATAAAATGTAATGTCTTTTTTTAGCTGCTGCTGAGAGTGACAATGGTGCTGCTTAAAAAGTAAGCGAAACAGCCTTAAGAAAATGGCTGAGACGGTCAACAGGAAGGAGTGCCTATAAAGCTAATACATGCTTGATATTATTTATGACAATAAAAATAAGTATAGTTGCAATTATTTTATTTCATATTAATGTAGATGGTGATGTCCGTTAGATTTCCATAAATTGTCCAAAAGCAATACAAAAAGAGTCCATATATGGACCTTTCATGGAGTCCACATGGACGTCCAGGAGTGGGACATTTGTATAGTCCAGTGGATGTCCATTGGATGTCCTTCGGTAAAATGCTGGACTTCCGATGGACATCCAATGGATTGACTTGTGCTGTCTGGGCTGATCAGGAAAATCCTAGCCAACAACCACCTACGCAACATAGAGTCATGACACCCCCTCCAGGTCCTTCCAACAGTCGACCCATTATTTCACGTACACCACTTTCAGATCTCTCGACAGTTGCTGAAAAACGTCAACGAATTTAGTTACGTGACACCAGGCCAAGAAAACCAGCAATCAATTCCAGAGCACAAGTTGTTACCAAACACCTACTCCCAAGTCTAAGAAACCTGCACCAGGGAAAAAGTCCTTCGGCCCGAAGAAAGCGACCAGTATAGAAAGTTGGTATTGCAAAGCATGCAAAATGGACAGCATCGCAGATATGCGTCTTTGCGTGGTTTGTAACAGCTATTTACACGACGACTGCTTGGGACTAACAAAGAAGGATAAATTTGAGGGTTATATTTGTCCATATTGTTTCTAAAAATTGCCCGTAACATCTTTTACAATTTTAAATTATTAGTACGATGTATCAGTAATATTCTGACCCCGAATTTTTTTTTTTTTAATATACAGTACTTTTAAACAGTGTGGAAACCACTTATGGAATAAAATTCTTTATGTCATTATTTTAGAAAATTATAAAAAATGCCGAGACATGTCAACTTTTGAATTGAGTTGTGCGTTATGTAAACATAAATTTAAATGTACAGGGTGATTCACGCAAGTATGCCATAGTCGGTGTTGTTTTTTTTTAATGAAACATCCTGTATATTTGCATATTTTTGAAATCCTCTTAATGAACCGATTCCAACAAACTGAATAATGTATGGTCAATTATGAATTATACAGGGTGAAATTTTTATTTTGACAGTTATTAAACACATACATAAAATACCTGATGTATTTGATTTTAATACATTAAAATAAATGCTCAAAATGTCCTCCACCTAGTTGTTGGCAATAGCACAGTCTCCTGTAGAACTCCTCATTAACTTTGTTTAAAGTTTGAGGTGAAATATTCCGTATTTCTGTAGTTATCCTGTCTTTGAGGTCTACAATGCTAGTTAGTTGTGTTGCATATACTTTGTTCTTGAGATAACCCCACAGAAAAAATCTAACGGCGTAAGGTCTGGCGATCTAGCTGGCCACTCAATAGTACCTCTTCGTCCAATCCATTTATTGGGGAAGATTTCATCTAAATAAGTTCTTACCATTAAAGCATAATGAGGTGTTGCCCCGTCTTGCTGGAACCAAACATTTTCATTCGGTAAGCTAGGATCTATTGCGTTGGGATATAAGTTTGCCAACGCAGGAATAACTTCATTTCTAAGCATATTTGAATATTTTTCAGCTGTCAAATTTCCATCTATAAATATAGGACCAATAATATGGTCGCCTATGATACCGGCCCAAACGTTCACCTTTTGAGGGTACTGACTATGTGTCTCACGCATCCAATTAGGATTCTCTGCTGACCAATATCTACAATTCTGTCGGTTTACCTCTCCATTCAATGTGAATGTTGATTCGTCAGAAAAAAGAATGGTACCAAGAGCTATCTCATTTCTGTTCAGCTTATTCATCAATCTTTCGCAGAAATCCATTCTACGATCTGGATCGTCTTCTGTTAACTCCTGCACAAAAGTTAATTTGTAGGGATGAAGTTTTTCTTTATGAAAACATCTTAGAACAGTTGTATGACCAACATTATTTTCACGGGCAATTTGACGTGTACCAGTTGGATTCTCTTCGACACTTAACAAAATATCCACTTTCACATCATCTTCAACGAAGTGTGGTTTTCTTTTCAATGGTTTGACATGTCCAAGTTCTCTGAATTGTGCATGAATTTTAGACACTACTTTGTGAAATATTAGGCAATTCGGGATACCTGTGATTAAATAAGTTTGCCACTTCAACTTGACTTCTGCAGTTATCCCCGTACCCGATCATCATTAAAATCTCAATTCGGTGAGTCTCAGTTAAATATTTCATTGTTATGTCGACAAGGAAAGAGTGTTTGACAAAGATTTTACTTTTTCAGTATAAACTCTCAACACATCAACAACTGACAGAATAGAAAACAATCCACATTATTTACCGATTTTGTCTAATTATTGGCGTTTTTAGGCAACTTTTAGGTATTTATGATAAAATTCATGGGCGTAGCAGGTTTTGTTTAATTGTACAAATACGTCTAATAATTAGTTAGTTTAGATTTTTGATAAATCCATATTTAGCTAATTTAAAAAAGTACCAATATTTCAAGTATAATAAATTATTAATTTTAAAATTTCACCCTGTATAATTCATAATTGACCATACATTATTCAGTTTGTTGGAATCGGTTCATTAAGAGGATTTCAAAAATATGCAAATATACAGGGTGTTTAATAAAAAAAAAAACAACACCGACTATGGCATACTTGCGTGAATCACCCTGTACATTTAATTTTATGTTTACATAACGCACAACTCAATTTAAAAGTTGACGTGTCTCGGCATTTTTTACAATTTTCTAAAATAATGACATAAAGAATGTTATTCCATAAGTGGTTTCCACACTGTATAAAAACATTATAAGCTTAGCATGGCGATATTGTATTCACTTACCTTATAAACCAGGACCTCTTTCTGAGAAGCTTCGCATGTTTATAACTTTGGATTTAAAAAGGGTGGCATTTGAGTAAAAGGAGTGGCATTTTTGGTGTAAAGCGGAACATTTTCGTACTTTGGCGTGTCACATGAATCCTAGTTTTGAATCCTTATATTATTAACCTAGGTTGATATATCTATTATACTGACAAAATAGCTTTGTATACTATTTTATTTTAAAAAATATTCAGCGGAGAATACAAGTTTTCTTTGCTGATCTACTATGTGCACACAGCCGTTAACATCTTTTGGTTCCTTCAATCTAAAAAATATGGTTCAATAACTTACTTGGTATCTAGAATCTGCTAAATTGGGATCGCCTCTGTATAAAACCGCCGTGGGAGAAGAATTATCAACATCGCTTCTGTTTATGAACAAATTTTGATACTGATGTTGAGCTAGGTATTGAGAACCATCAGCGTAACCGTTATTATATTGCGCAGTCTGAAGGTTGGCATAATCTCCAGGATGTTCGATTTCTGAGAGAGTTACCGGTACAACGTTTCCTTCAATATTCACAGTTGTGTAACTAATGTCTTGAGCGAAATTCTGATTTTCGAAATTCTCAGCTGGCATCTCTATGGCGTACGGTTTGGTATCTGGAAATTGTTCCCGTTGCTCCTGCGTTAATATTTCTGAATACGTAGTTGTTTCTGTACGTTCAACTTTTTGTTCGACAGGACTTGGTGTGGACGCTGATGTTTTAACAATTTCTTCGGCAGTCGGTTCAGGAGGTTGTTCTTCGTTTGATTCAATGATAGTTCCAGCCGGAGTAATGAAGTTTCTTCTAATAACGCCTGTTCCGTTGTTTTGGGTAGGCTGTGGATCCGTTTCAAGAGCGGCTACTTTTGGTTTTATTTCTTCGGGCGAATGTTGTTGTTCTTCTTTTGGTTCCATTTTGCTGGAAATAAAGGAGAACGTTAATATAATATACATATTTAAATATTAATCTAATAAATTAAACGACTTTTAAAAGCTCATGAAGATTCTAGAAACACAAAAATAACTGTGGGAATCATTGTATCCAATAAAATCTTTTGTGCAAAGTAAAGAAACAGGCAATGTTGTATTAAAAGCAGGAAAAACAAGAAAATCTCAAAGACGTGCGTGGAAAAATATTACGAACGACCGTTCACCTCCGGAAAATAACTAATCCTTTGGCTAATACCATAACAGGGACAGTAGAGATAGAAAATTATATTTAATACGCTAGCTTTGATTTTGCTTACTTTTTATATTGCATAAATAGTTTGGTCATTTTGATGATTGAGCAGGAAATTGTTGGTAGCAGGGGAAGTTTCTCCATTGGTTCTAGTGATGCCGCGAGAGTGTGGCCTGTCTCACCTCGTAGGGCGAGAGAAAACTTTTCTCTCGTCTCGACGAGATATTAAATTGGAAGTTAGAATTTTTCTAATGCAAGCCTGCGATGTCAAATGAAAGCATTTTGTAGTTTTCAAAATGCAAGAAGATAAAGACATAAAACAAAAATGATTTGAAATTAGAGAAACATTATGATATTTTTGTTATATTGAGATTCACTTCACTTGAGACGTAAAATAGAGAGCGTTACTATCTTTAATACTATCTTTAAATTTTCCAATGGAAAGTAAAGTCATGTAATACCTCATTTGAAATATATTTTGATTATATTCATGTTCAAGCAAACAGTTTTATTTTTGTTTTGTTTTTACAAAAATTACATTCTAGATAATCCTTGTGTGCCGCAATAATCCCAGAAATGTTAGATGAGAATTTTTTAATAAGCTTTTTTTTTTGCTAAGAAGTTATGAAAAATTTAATACGTCAAGTGGTTTTTAAATCACCTTTGATATTCTTAATTTATTTATTTATTTTAGTAAATACAAGAAGCGTTTCCTTAGTAATAAACAATGATTGTTAATACGAGAGTTATGAAGACTGTAACTTATGAGTAAAGGCCCAGCACATGTCTGTATAAGAACAAAGTTCCAGCTACAAAAATTTGCCCTTTGTGCAGTGTTAAATCCCTCTAACAGTAAAAAATTACTTAAATTTATAAAAGATACTGATATTTACTGTGTATTAGCTAAAATGTTAATTATCCATTGTATACTACTGTAAAAAAGAGCAATTATAAGGTATTATACCTCCGGTAATGATCCTTTGAGGTTGAAGCGGTAAATAAAAAAAAGAATTTAACCTACTTTATGAATTTATTTAATGGAATTTATATAGAAACACAAAAACCTAAATCTGTTTACATGAACCTAAAAATATATTAAATATTTTTCAAATGAGGTATCACATGACCCCCCAGCAAACATTTTCTATTACATTAGTTATAACTCGACTTTGTTAAAGACGAATTTACTTATTGAGGTAATTATTACGTAAAATTGACTAGAAAAATATACCTCTAATGTAAATTTACCAAACGGTTTTAATTTATATTCAAATTTACGTAAATTATACCAATAAATCTACCTTTTACACAAATCTGCTTAAAAGTAACTTTAACCATATCAACAAGGGAAAAACTACTAAAAAAAATAACCAACAATTACTTCAAAGTTAAATTTCCTTTGTAGTAAAATTAGGTGCCATATTTAGGTAATATCTACCTGTTTGGCAACTAAAAATCGTCTTTATAGTAGAATATCCAACTAGGTAGATTTGGTTAAAAATTCTACGTAATTTTATGCCTCCATAGTAACCTATTTGGCCGCTTTTATTTACTCTCCTTTAAAGTAATATTAGGTCGAGATCGTAGCAAAATTCTACCTGTTTAACTACCTAATTTCAACCAAATAGTCGAATACTCATTTAGTTGACCTATAAGTCATCTTGAAGAAATATTTATTAACTTTTTTGTAGCAATTACCTGAAAAATCTACCACAAAGTAAATTCGACTAAAAACCACCAATTTAAAAAGAGTCATACATGACCTATTTGTAAAATTTATATTATTTAGGTTATTTTAACAATTAGGTTGTTCAGTTACTGTCTTCGTCATTATTCTTAAGAATTTCGGCCATTTTAAAAAAACCATTACAGTCGTAATCTTAATTTACGTGTGGTGTAAATAGAGCTTTAAATGAGTGCGAAAAATAATTAATAAAATGAGTTCGAAAAATAATAAATCATATCGTTATACTTCCGATTTTTATCGTAAAGTGAAACGTCTAAAATCTCAAGTGCAGAACAACGTGACCTAAATATGTTATATTTACCTATAGGTAAATTTTTTATAAAACCTATAAGTTATTATTTCTTTAAATAGGTAAAGTTAACTAATATGTCGTGAAATTGAAGTTAATTCAACTTAGTAAAAAGGTATTTGTAAAATACGTAGATTTCCTTAGTCATAATAACTTTTAGGTCGAATTCGCCCAATACGCCATATTTTCTTAACGTAATTGAAGTACGATTCCAAATTTTAAATTTTTAAAATGACCATAACTAGAACATACGAATGAAAATACCGAAAAACGAAACATTATTGATTTTCTAAAGTGATACACAACAAACGTAACATAGTTTTAGCTCATAATATTATTATTATTTTTTTACACGATCATATTTTTTTCTTATATTTTTTTAATTAGAGAGTATTTTGGAAGGGCATTGTTATTTTTCTAAGTAGAACTGTTAACATGTACGACAAAATTTTCTTCGCATTAATTTCAACAAGCGTGAACTGTATATTCACCGCAATTACATTACATATATTTTTGTCAACGACATTTATTTATTTTCAATCTTTCATGTGAATTAGGTATATGTTTTAGTTGTGTTGGTGACTTGTTACAATATTTCTACTTATATATATATACATAAAAATACCAAATAAGTATAAACTTTCTTTTCGTACACTTGGAGGCATACGTCATCTGCAAACATTTTGGTAGTTTCTACCTAAACTTAGTTAAATCACCGTCGAATTAACGTTATACTGACGTCAAATTTCCCTAGAGAGGTATTACTAACCAAACGTACTGGGCTACTATAATATGGATTTAGATGTAATTCTACCTATTTTGGTAAATAAAACCAAATTTCGACGTCGTCTTATTCTCAACTTATGTCGAATCCACGTCGAGCCAACGTAAATTTTATTTAATTATGGTTAAATCTAATTTTGTGACCAAATTTATTATATATAATTTAGGTAGTATCGACGTCAAATTACACTAAAATGTTTACTGGGCCTGCTTTCCATTAGAAAATTTAAAGCTAGTAACTCCCTCTATCTTACGTGTCTCAAGTAAAGTGCATCTCGTTATAACAAAAATATAATATCTCTTAAGTTTTACCTCGTTTTTGTTTCGTCATTATCTTTTTTCATTTAGAAGTTAAAATAGAGGAGGGTACAATTTTCGTCCTCACTGTATATAATACATTCGTTTATATTACCTTTTCTTTGAGAGTTTTTCGAAAAAACGCTTAAACATTTTCAACTTATCTTCAAAAGTAACCTCAAAAAAGCAGAATGGATTAAATATAAAAACAATTATATAAATTTTAAATAAATGAAATAGTTTTTCTTATAAATCACTATTTATAAAATCCTAATAACACATGTATCATTTGTTACCATTTAATATGTTAACTTCTAATATGTTAAAATTTTAAGTTACGATAAGCAATTGAAAATTTCAAATAAGGAAAGAGAAAATTGTTCGAGAGAGCCCGAGAGAGCTCGAGAGAAACGAGAAATTCTCGTCGGGAGATGACTGTCTCATCTCTAATCTGTTATCGAGAGAAAATGTCTCTCTCGTCTCGTTCGAGACAAGACGAGACGAGAGACGAGAATCTCTCGTCTCGCGGCATCACTAATTGGTTCATTTGTGCAGTGTACTCCCAGTTAAATTTCATAAAATCACATTATTTTAAAATTACATAAAAATATAAATTCAATTTTAATATATTTATTATTCTCGTCCATGGTAATCTTTACTTGTTTTCGTACCCCACTGCGCTATGACCGATCCCGTCTGTCGGTGCAATATGTTGATTGAACTCGAGAGGATTCCGCGAATGCCTGTAGTTAAAAAGAGAGGTCAGCAGATCTGTGAAACAAACAGTGTTCCTGCTTAAAACCACGCTATTTTTAGCATCATTCTGTGCATCATACGTAGATTAGGGCACGACAGTTAACTCTGGATCACTCTGACAATCAGTTATTTTCGATTCATCGAGTCCTTAAAAATTATCGATTCTTTACGATTAATTGATTATTTTCGATTAGCCGATTATTTTCGAATAATCGATTCATTTTCGTGACTTTAAAAGACAACCGCTTTTGGCATTATGCCATCATCAGGTCTACGAATGAAAGATGTTAGAAAATACAACTTAAAAATTAAAAAGTTAACTACATACCTAAAAGGTTAACAAGCGCGAATAAAACTGAGTGAGGAGACGTCTCCAACAATAATATTTAAAAATGTCATACAGAAGTATTGAATGTAAGAATCATCACAAACGTGAAACAAAGGTATACAACATTTAATGTGGGATTTTGAAAGAGTAAAACCAAATTTGGTAGATTTTCACACTTTTATTTTAAAAATAATTTTTTTTTTTTTTTTAAACACTAACATGACATATGTTTCGAAGTACAACTTCTTTTTCAAATGAAAAAGAAGTTGTACTTCGAAACATATGTCATGTTAGTGTTTTTTTAAAAATTTTTATTTTTAAAATAAAAGTGTGAAAATCTACCAAATTTGGTTTTACTCTTTCAAAATTAAATGGATTTTCATCAAGTAAAGGCCGAAACAATAAATAATTTAATGTGGGAAATACAAAAAATGCAAAGGCGAGAAAAAATGATGAAAAACAATAAAAAATAATGGTAAAATGGAAATAGAAACGTTAAATCTTAAATATTAACAATATATAACAACCAAACGCAAATC